GATGGTTGTATCCCCCATATATATAGCATTATTTTGGTTACAAGAATTTTGTATAACAATTTCAATTGAAAAACTCTACGTTTTGAATCCGGCGTCGTTTTGTGTATCAGTTCATAAACCATGTGCCATGGAGTCAGTACATCGAAAATCTCCTCCCAACTATTTTGCAACCTGTCAATTTGTAGGTAATGTTGGTCTTTAATGCAGGGCGGACAGACAAGTTCCTTACCTTCTCCCCCTTTCCACTTGCCTCCTCTATTTTTGCGGTAATTATGCAATCAGTTGGTTGTAATTTTGGATAGAGCAGACATTTCCATATATTTTTGTTAACTGCATGTGTGACATAACTCCACCATTCCTATTTATGATATAATTTACAAAGATTATACCGTTTCTAAACATTGTTTTCCAATTATTATTATTATTTTTAATCAATTAGTAAATGTTCATTTAACCATAATATTATTTTAATGATTACTTAATTGGCAAAGTGGGCAAACTTTGGCAGGAAATGCCAACAACGAACAGTGAGCCATCGTATTCATGCATAAAAAAACAAATAATGAAAGAAAAGCATTGCACGTTTGAAATGTGTAAAGTTATTGTGGGAGAGGTGGAAAAATTAACGTTATCGATCAATAATGACAAACCTCCTGGCATTGACAACTTAGATGGAAAGCTACTGAGGATGTCAGATCTTTAATCTGAGTCTAGAGGAAAGTCTTTGTCCTCAGGCCTGGAGGGAAACCAAAGTAGTTCCGTGGTAAAGCGGCCTTTACTGGTTCTAACAGCAGACCTATCAGCTTGCTGCCAGCTCTTAGCAAACTGTTGGAAAAAATGTGTTTGACCAAACAGAATGTAAACAAATTAACAACAGACTTTCAGCATGCGTATAGAGAAGGGCACTCAACATGTACTGCACTGACACAAATGACTGATGATTGGTTGAAAGAAATGGATCATAAGAAGATTGTGGAGCTGTACTGTTAGATTTCAATACAGCCTTTGATATTATTGACCATAACCTGTTGCTGAGAAAACGTATGTGTTAAGGCTTTTCAACCTCTGCCATATCATGGATTCAGAGCTATCTATCTAATAGAACTCAGACTGTTTTCTTTAATGGAAGCTTCTCTAATGTCAGACATGTAAAGTGTGGTGTACCGCGGGGCAGCTTTCTAGGCACTCTACTCTTTTCCATCTTATCAATGACCTGCCACAGGCATTAAAGAAAGCATGTGTGTCCATGTATGCTGATGAGTAATCCGTATACGCATCAGCAACCACAGCTAATTAAGTCACTGAAACCCTTAACAAAGAGTGGCAGTCTGTTTTGGAATGGGTGAACAGTAAAAAACTGGTCCTGAACATCTCTAAAACTAAGAGCATTGTATTTGGTATAAATCATTCCCTAAGTTCTAGACCTCAGCTGAATCTGGTAATAAATGGTGTGACTGTTGAACAAGTTGAGGAGACTAAATTACTTGGTGTTACCTTAGATTGTAAACTGTCATGGTCAAAACATATAGATTCAATGGTTGTAAAGATGGGGAAAGGTCTGTCTATAATAAAGAGATGCTCTGCTTTTTTGACACCACTCTACACAAAGCAAGTTCTGTAGGCTATAGTTTTGTCTTATCTTGATTATTCTCCAGTCATATGATGAAGTGCTGCAAAGAAAGACCTAGTTAAGTTGCAGCTGTCCCAGAACAGAGTGGCACATCTTGCTCTTCATTGTAATCAGAGGGCTAATATTAATACTATGCATGCCAGTCTCTCTTGGCTATGAGAGACTGGCATATATGTTTTTATAAGAAACATTAATGTGTTGGAAATTCCAAATTGTTTGCATAGTCAATTTACACACAGCACTGACCCACACATTTACCCCACCAGACATGCCCCCCGGGACCAGATCAAATTCAAGAAAACGTACAGTATTATACAGAGCCATGAGTGCATGGAACTCCCATCTTAAATAGCGCAAGTGAACAGCAAACCTGGTTTCAAAAAACTAATAATGCAACACCTCACGGCACAATGCCTCTCCCCTATGTGACCTACTTGTGTGTATGTACTGACATGTACAGTATGTGTAACTGATAGATGCACACACACTACATGCTAATGTTTTTAAATGTATGTAAATTGTAAAGTTTTTTGTCTAAGGTCTTTTTCGTTACGTGTCGGACCCCAGTAAGACTAGCTGTCGTTTCCTAATAATTCAAATCAAATCAAAAGATGGAAAACAGATTTGCTTTGGCAAAAATAAAGCGTTCCTTCTGTTCTTGACTGACTTTCTACATTTTTTAGGAAATGATTCATTAGATTTCCAGTGTAAATTGCTAGTTATTACCCCACCCAAGCTGAATGCTATTTCCTACAAAGGGGCCAGGGGGTGAGGTTCGTAGCTGAGTCTCCTTGAGGAGGCCTACTACAGATGTAGGATCTTAATTTGATCACCCTGTTGCAGGAGAACTTTCCTGCAATGCAGGAAATTTAAAACTTCTACTGTATTTTAGGCTTCTGAAGTTAGTAATTTATCAACCCCTACAAAAATATCCATTCATTAAAATCCACATAATAATTCACATTTGCTGTTGCTGCAGGATTATTTTCTTGCTGTAGCAAACTGGCTCACATTAAGATCCTACATCTGTAGCTAAGGCAGCTAATCTTTGCTGTGGCCTACAGCAATATGAACCCTGCTGTGGTTAAGACATCTCAGAGGGGACGTGATGTCACAGAGAGCCTCTCTGGCTGGTCCCCTTGGGATGTGAAACAGACACTGTGTTGTTGCAGTTGGTAGAGCATCAAGCACTAACGCGTTGTAACACCTGTTCCTCAATGCCAGGGAAATTGATTCTGTATGAGAAGGTGCTACAGACCAGATGATAGATACAGTAGAGGTCTGGGTTACTTCATTCTATCTGATAGAGCTATGACTTATCAGCAGGACTTGGGCAGGAGCTCACATAAACTGAGTACATTTTCTACTGCTTGATTTCCTGCACCTCCTATAGAATATTGTATTAAAAGTATTGGGGAGTTCTGGCACCTAAATATAAACAGTACCGGTACCCAAAATGAGTACCGACACTATTTCAGTCCAAGTGAAGCACTGATTATCAGCTTACTTAAATGGGCTGATATACTATCCAATACCCAGTATAATAAAGGTGTGAGGGTGCTTTAAAGTGAATCAAATATCAGTTCCTGTCAGGTAAGCAGAGCGCAGCATGTTACTGAAGAGCTGTCCACAGAGGACACTGGAGGATCAACGCCACAGCAGGAGGCTAAGTCACTCTCACTGGGCTTTCAAATGAGTTAGCGTCTTGCCTGAGCTTTCTCATTTAGCCACGCAGTAAAGGGAGATGTTCATCATAAAGTCAACCTCCTAAGCAGGTTACTATGTCCCCTGGTTAGTCTGAGTAGATAGATGCACTTTAAGAGAGAAGTGGCTATGACATTCACAGAGCTGTGACTTTCAGATGGAGATAGAGAAGTTGGGCCTCTGATAGAGGGGCTCCAGTTCTTACAGAGCTGTGACTTTACTAGGGATGTAACTCTTAAGACTTTGGACTCAAATTGCAGGAGTTGAGACAACCATAAAGGGAACTGTGACTCTCTTCATCCACACACTGTGCTTCCATTAACAGTGCATACAATCATTATTATCTAAACATTTGTTATCTAAACATTTCTCTCTGCTAAAATAGGCATTTCAACACATTGACATTGAAAGAAATCCTATAATATAAAGTTGAGCTTATAGAAGAAGATAGTGTCACCTTGGTGTTTAAGTAGATTACAGAGCAGAGATGTGTATCTTATTGTCTGATTTAACAGAATACAGGCTTTCTCTACAGGCCTGAAGACGGAGAGAAATGCACTCTTATGTGCCCATGTCCAGACTAGGGATTGTATACACTAATACATGAATATTTCTACTACTGGTCATTTGGTGAGGGGATATAATGGTTTTAGCCAGTCAGAGTACTGACTGAATAAGATCAGGACGCAAGCAAGAGAAGAAAATAGGTCCAGTCTAAAAAGTCTAAAAGCAGTCAGTCCTCCAGCCATGAGGTGGCACTGGCGGGTTCTCCTGGGCGTGTTGATGTTGAGGTTGCATGAGGTCAGGATGAATGAGTAGTCTCTCTCCCTCTCTCTTGGATGCATGTTGTTGTGCAGGGTCAGCCTGTCGTCCATCCCTCTTTCTCCCTCTCTCTCTCTATTCCCATGGGTGGCAGGTGCAGGCTTGTGAGAGACGGATGTGAGAGTGTGTTGCTTGGAGAAGGACGCACAGTGCGGGTCGATCTTGTGTTGGCTTGGTTGACTGCAGGTCTGTGGTCCATACTGGTCCTTAAACACCTTCCAATAGGGGCGCTACATTGACAATGATGACTTCACATAGACAGGGTGGGATGGGGGAGTTGTGAAGAGGGGCCGCCAACAACAGGCCATACCTCTGCTCTTTTTTCAAACAGCATCTTTGCTACTGTAACATTCCTCATACAATGATAAAACCACTGTAGCCACATCAGCCTCTGACTCAGTATCTCTCTGTCTCAAGTTAGCACATTTCGCAACGTTAGCGACTATACAGGGAAGTATCGCCAAATATCTGTCTCATTTTAGCTGATTCAGACTAAACTCAAGACAAACAGTCCTTCTCTCTCTCTCTCTCTCTCTCTCTCTCTCTCTCTCTCTCTCTCCAATAGCTCAGACCTGATTTATCTACAGCCTGCAGGAATGAAAAGAGAGAAAGAGCCACACTTATTTGATATCCTTACCGCTCCTGTCCTGCTGTTCTGTTTGCAGCCTGGGCAAATTTGAGATAAAGTTACTGAGCCAGAGGGAGGAAAACCTGACTCTGCCCTGCAGGCTGCCCATGGACAGACACTCTGACAGCCCTATATGGCAGCCTTTAGTCCTAACACAGCAGCTTCTACACAATGAGAGCGCTCCATAGCCTACAGAACAAGGAGCAGATTGTTACCTCTTCGGACCAGGTAAGGCTTTGTGTAGTCCCAGCTCTCGTTGTCATTTCTGATCACGTTCAAGCGAGTTGGCTACAGGAGGGAAACAACAGATATGTTGTTGCATGCTGAGGCTGATCACCAGGAAGTGCTCCGGCATTTTAAACAAAATCTATTTGCTAAGCATTATGTATGTGATTGTGTGTGGAGAATATAGACTTACCCTTGCATATTCGATTTTTAAGGTGCAGCAGCCGGCGTAGATGTCGGCTCCATTGAGAGCAGCCTTAGCTTTCTGAGCACACTCAACAGACTCAAATGTGAGGAGGGCAAGTTAAGGACAACAGCAACACAACCAATTAACCTCAAGCCTCAATTCACAATTACAAGTCCACAGATAACAGTTATAAAACCTCTAAACCCATCAACAAAAACAACTCTATGCTCGCTGAATAATTTGACCTGGGGATGCCTTTATTATTGGCTCACCCTCCACCCATCACACTCACATCCTAACAGACAGCCAGACAGCCACCCAGCCAGACAGCCAGACAGACAGACAGACAGACAGCCAGCCAGCCAGCCAGCCAGCCAGCCAGCCAGCCAGACAGACAGACAGACAGCCAGCCAGCCAGCCAGCCAGCCAGACAGACAGACAGACAGACAGACAGACAGACAGACAGACAGACAGACAGACAGACAGAGACAGACAGACAGACAGACAGACAGACAGACAGACAGACAGACAGACAGACAGACAGACAGACAGACAGACAGACAGACAGACAGACAGACAGACAGACAGACAGACAGACAGACAGACAGACAGACAGAAAGGATATTCCACCATGGCCTGGATGCCGTTGCGTTTGAAGATGACGATGCGCATCACACTGCCGATGGGGTTGCAGACGGTGTAAAGAACGTCCTTGGTGACAACAGAGGGAGACATAGAAAATGTTATAGTCAGCTCTCACCAAGGCTGCAGATGGAAGATAAAAGCTCCAATCAAAACTGAGTTTCTCCCTGACACCTGCAACATCGAAGACAATGTACCAGGCAGTAACAAATTTGTGCACAATATTTGAGAGGTTACTGTGTGACATTGATGGAATAATGAGAAATAGTATTTATGTGAGACTTCAATGAGGTAGGAACATCTGTGTGTCCTTAGAGAGAGCAATCTGGATGCAGGAACCTATATAAGACCCTAGTATGGCGTTGTATGTCTATCTATAAGAGTGAGTGTATATCTATGTGCATCCATCTATCAGTCCTTTAGTGTGTGTGTTCATACTTCCATATGCTTGTATGTTCTAGCACAGTGACTGTGTCTCTCTAATCAGACTCTGTTTGACTCAATAATAAGACAATTCAACCCTATCGGGGTCTCCATTACCAGCTTGCATAACTACACATTTATCTGCTGTTGCGTGTTGTATTTCCTATCTGCTCAGCTGGAATGAGACACAGGGAAGCAGTGCAAGGCTGGAATGCTTTCTCTGCTATTTGTTCATCCATATCTGAGGAAGACTGATATACGTGAGCTTCCTGGTATTGTAATCATCAGACACATGATATCTGAACACATCTACAGACACCCCGCTGAGAGCCCTCTCTATCTATCAGTACAACCTGAGAGGGAGAGAGGGAGAAAGAGAGGGGGGGGGGAGATTATGGCGGGAGATATGCACAAACTCCGGGAGAAATAAACCTCGAAACAGCCACAGGATGCTTTAAAACACTACTTTCTAAATGTAGCCCGTCGGCTCACATTAGGAGAGAGAGGGAGACAGAGAGAGAGATAACATTGAGATATAGAGAGGGAGTGAGAGAGCAAGAAAGGGTCAAAAAATAAATCCTGCAGTTCTATGATAATACACAATGCTTTAGATTTATATATTCACTTGACTATTGTTAATATGGGAAATAATCAGAGACTCTAGTTAACTACTGTTACCATGGTGAGAGTATAGCATTCATACAGTGCCAGGGGCGTGGCACAGAGTGAGTTAATAACTGGCACTGTGGTAATGGTTCTTTGTAGCTCAGTTGGTAGAGTACGGTGCTTGTAACGCCTGGATAGTGGGTTTGATTCCCGCGACCACCCATACGTAAATGCATGCATGACTGTAAGTCGCTTTGGATAAAAGCGTCTGCTAAATGGCATATATTCTAATTCTTATGTATAATACAGTATGTATTTTCAGCCTTGACTCCGTGTTCTTACTGTGGTGATGGGGTAGAGTGGATTCTGGATAGACAGGAGCAGGACTTTGTTGCCACTGTTGGGGTTGTCTGAGTTGGTGGGCCGGGTGATCCTCTTGCTGGTGGAGTAGTTGAAGAAGGCCTGCTGGCCTGCGATGTAGACTGCCTCGCTGCTGCCACACGCCACACACTTATCAGCACACTCCACCATCTCAAACTCCACCAGCGCCTGCCGCTTAAAGGGCATCATCATCACATAGCTGCCATCAACACAAAACAATAAGGAAGTCCATTAGAATTAAATTGACTGAGTGGAAAACTGGTCCATTACTCTAAATTAACTGAGGCTCAAATGACACCCTATTCCCTGCTGTCTACCATAATGCCAAAAAGAGAGCACTATTGCGAAGGGGGTCTCTTTGAGATTTGCCCAAAGAGAACTCATGTCCTGAACTGACAGAATTAAAACTCTGCAAGTTTGGAATGTAAACATTTCCTGGTCAAATTCTGAGGTTTTGGGCAACTGTCAAACAATTATACCAGAAAGGAAACTGCTCTATCTATTTCTTGTTTATATTACCTTCAAAAAATTATGACAGATGCACTGAGCCTAAAGTGGCTCAACAGAAAAGCACACAAAACAGGAGGAGGGGAGAAACTGCTGTTGTGACAATACTGTGGGCAGTGCTGGTCTAATTGGACCGTTACCATAGTTTCTACAGTTACCATGGTACGGTAGATTGTCTCTATGTTGTGGGTTACTCATGCTATCGTATGCTGTTTCCACAGCTCTCTTAGGGATGTTAATGAATATTGCACCACATAAGGAGTAACACTGAGATCTCTCTGATCCTCAAGGTGTCTGTGAGGTAGGGAAGAGAGGGGTAATCTGAGCAATTCTTTCATTCAGCATCACTCCGTCAAGGGAAATATATTATTATTTCTAACAAAGATATCTACATATATTTCAGGATGTTGTGCATTACTGGAAATAATCAGAATTCATGTAAACATAACAGTTTTGAAAACACAGCTTGTCCCAAAAAAGTGGTCTGTAAAAAAATTATCACGGTTAAAAATTATCACGGTTAAATGCGCTATGCATTATGTGGGTTGAATGCTGTAACAACACAGAATAAAACAATTATTAAAAGTCCCATGATGGTAGTGACTGCCCATTACTGCTTATCACTTATAAACCATTAGTTATTTACATTACTTTAATAAAATATATCAGTTGTTGTGTATATTACATTTGTTTTATTTGATGACTTTATTATTTTATTCTAAGTCATATAATCTCTATAGAGCACTGCCTATGCTGTCTGATGAAATAACTATTTTATTAGTTATTCAAAGTAAATAAGGCATACTTTTATGACTGCTGCTGAATACCAACTATCAATCACTTAGATGTATTTTCAGGTGGAGATAACTCGTGAAGCAACTTCTCTCTATCTCTCTCGATTGCACATTCTTCTGTCTCTTACGTAGCAGGCGTAAAAGAAACAGACCAGACAAGTAGGCTCGCAATGGATTATGGTCATTGTAGTTAATTACCACGCTTTCTGCGATAAACTATGTAGAATATTGGCATGTTGGAAACTACAACTCCCTACTACATCGCACAGTTCGAGCTTGATCTGATTTATCTCTAGAGAAACTGCAATTTGCGCATTGAGCTCACAGAAAGAAACAGAACAAAATGGAATTCAAATAATTGAACAGATTTTGTTCAATTACTTGTTTAAAAAACAAAAAATAACCTACATTTCGGTTAATTGCTCAGCACTACTGGGAAGAAAACATTTCAATTTGCTCAACTTACCCCAAGGCAACCATTTTGACTATATCAGCCCACACAGCTACAAGGATGCACTTTCATGCTAGGTTTATGACCTCATATTGAAGCTTATAGAGACCCCAGCTGATGTGTAGAACAATCTTTAAATTATCTACTTTGGTTTAGATACAAGCATCATGAAACCTCTAACACAGTAAATTCATTTGACTTAATGAAAATCCTTTTTTTGGACATAACTTTCTTACCACTTTTTCCATGTGGTTTCTTCCTTCACAGACTCCATGAAATGACCTCTTCCTAAATATTTGGTCAAATTATTAATTTTGTGTATGGTTTCCTAGAAACAAGGGTGGCTCAACATACCCCTTTGGCTCAACTTACCCCTTTGTCTCAACTTACCCCACTCTCCCCTAAAAGCTTGGTTTGGCCAACACCTCCACCTCCACGCTATTTGTGTGTGTCTGTATGAAAATGTTTGTGTGTGTCTGTATGTGTATGTGTCTGTGTGTGTGTGTGTGTGTGTGTGTGTGTGTGTGTGTGTGTGTGTGTGTGTGTGTGTGTGTGTGTGTGTGTGTAGCTCATTAAAGGAGATGAGCTAAACCTTGTTAGATCACTGCCTCAGTATATGGTGATCTAACGTTATATTTCTACAGAACCCCAGAGACTTCTACAGGATGAAAGGCACTTCACTGGAGAGGCCTCACACATACAGTATCTACACTACATTTATAAGATCCATTTAGCACAGGGGTCTAGCATACACTCTTATCCAGTGTATCCCAAGTCACAGTACAGTGCATTCTGTGCACATTGCCAATTTCTGTGCATATTTTCCTATGTTTAACAAAAAAGATGGGATAAAAGCTGTTTTGTTTCTAGGTCTTACAGTGAGGAAAACAAGGGGTTAAGGGGTGGGAGGCACGTACCACCCAACACATTTGGATGGATTCTTACCATATGGGCCCAAACTTCTCCAGGGCCTCCACCAGGTCAGCCTCCACCACGGCCTCACACAGCCCCCTGACATGGACCACCGGGGACTGGGCGATCCTGTGGGAGTCCTCCTCATTTTCCTGCGACACACATAAACAACATTTATTAGAGACTAGAACACACAATACCTGGAATAGGGGCAGAGGTTATGTTGATCTTAAATCTACTGTATTCAATCATTTAACAACTGAAGTGCAATGTCCTGTATAATACCTATCTAAAATAGAAGTCATTTTGAAAAGAGTGGATGTAGGGAGGAGGTTTCAGGTTTAATAATTAAAAATGGATGACCTCCAGTACAGGTTACCTTTCCCTAACTGGGACTGTACCCCTCTATGTGAGAGCGTTAAAGTGCATCTATGAATGAGAGGATTGGTCGCTCCAAGGATTCCCGACTGAAATGAAGGGTTTGCAAGTCAAGTCCCATTAGTGTTCTCTCAGCCTCATGGCAAAATGTGTATAATAGCAGGAAATTAGGTTTAAAACTGCAAAAAAAAATCTCAGCCTCATGGCAAAATGTCAACAAAAGCATGAGGTGACCTATAAAACAGCAACACCAACAAAATATCTCCTGCCCCATGGCAAAAAGTGTAGAATTGCATTAGCTTAAAACTGCAACATTTTCTCTTAGTCTCATGATGTGTAGAATATCATTATAAAACTGCAAATGTTTTCTCCCTGCACCATGGCAACATGTGTTGAAATGCAGGAAGTTAGCTGGGTGTGGTGGGGGCCCCAAATGCATGGGCAAAATCAAATATTTAGAAGAAAAACCATGGCGTGCTCGGAGAATCTCAGATGAGTCTCTATTTCAGGCTTTAGCAACAGAGCGTTGTTTACACTAGCTCTGTGATCTAATAGGCTCAGGATGTAACTGGGCGGGGCTGAGCTGGTTTTCTCTAGCAGTAGTGGGCGGGACTCCATCTCTCTGTGATAGTGATATGAATATGGTTACATACCCATTCAATATATGACATGCAGGAATAATGGTCAAGACCTATGCCCAATGGACAAGGTGCTTGTGGAGCATAGAGTCAATGGTGGAAAAAGTACTCAATTGTCATACTTGAGTAAAAGTAAAAAGAAAATGTTATACATCAAATTCCTTATGTTAAGCAAACCAGAACAATCTTTATTTATAATTTTATTTATGGACGGCCAGGGCCACACTCCAACACTCAGACATAATTTACAAACGCAGTATTTGTGCTTAGTGAGTCCGCCAGATCAGGTAGGTAGTTTAGTGGTTAAGAGTGTTGTGCCAGTGGTTAAGAGCATTGTGCCAGTAACTGAAAGGTCGCTGGTTCTAATCCCCGAGCCGACTAGGTGAAAAATCTGTCGATATGCCCTTGAGCAAGGCACTTAACCCTAATTGCTCCTGTAAGTTGCTCTGGATAAGAGCATCTGCTAAAATGAAAATCAGAGGCAGTAGGGATGACATTGCGTTATATTGATAGATGCGTGAATTGAACCATAATTCTGTCTTGCCTGAGCATTCGAAATTAGGACTTTTTGGTATCAGGGAAAATGTATGGAGTAAAAAGTGCATTATTTTCTTTAGGAATATAGTGGAGTAAAAGTAAAAGTTGTCAAAAATATAAATAGTCAAGTAAAGTACAGATATCCCCAAAACGACTTAAGTACTACTTTAAAGTATTTTACTGAAGTACTTTACACCACTGAGCATAGTGTTAAAGCTCACCCTTCTCTTTCAAACACCTCTCTCTGTCTGCTGTGGTAATACAACATCTCCATCCCTATAGTGCAACAAAAACACCCCACTCTGCCCTTTCAGACGTCCTACTCCACTCAGTCTATGAGGGAGAGCCAGGCAGAGAAAGCGGAAACTAGGCAGAATGGGAAGGTTGAAAGTCAAAAGACAGCACTAAGAGTGATGTAGATGGAGTTAAAGGTCCTATGCAGCTGTTTCATCTTAATATAAAATCATGTTGGGACAGTTGCACAGTATTATTCCAACCTCATAGTGTGGAAATATACACTGAAAACATATGCATGTGTTTAGATGTAAAGTGCTGGTCCCATGTTTCATGAGCTGAAATAAAAGATCCTAGAATTATTATTTTTTTGCACAAATTTTGTGCACACATTTGTTTACATCCCTGTTAGTGGGCATTTCTCCTAAACCAAGATAATCATCCACCTGACAGGTGTGGCATATCAAGAAGCTGATTAAACAGCATGATCATTACACAGGTGCACCTTGTGCTAGAGACAATAAAAGGCCACTCTAAAATGTGCAATTTTGTAAAACAAGACAATGCCACAGATGTCTCAAGTTTTGAGGGAGCGTGCAATTGGCATGCTGACTGCAGGAATGTCCACCAGGGCTGTTGCCAGAGAATTTCTCTACCTAAGTCGCCTCCAACATCGTTGTAGAGAATTTGACAGTACCTCCAACCGACCTCACAACCGCAGACCACGTATAACCACACCAGCCCAGGACCTCCACATCCGGCTTCTTCACCTGCGGGATCGTCTGAGACCAGCCACCCGGACAGCTGATGAAACTGAGGGTTTGTACAACAAAATAATTTCTGCACAAACTGTCAGAAACCGTTTCAGGGAAGCTCATCTGCATGCTCGTTGTCCTCACCAGGGTCTTGACCTGACTGCAGTTTGGCGTCGTAACCGACTTCAGTGGGCAAATTATCACCTTCAATGGCCACTGGCACGCTGGAGAAGTGTGCTCTTCACGAATGAATCCCGGTTTCAACTGTACCGGGCAGATGGCATCGTGTGGGCGAGCGGTTTGCTGATGTCAACATTGTGAACAGAGTACCCCATGGTGGCGGTGGGGTTATGGTATGGGCAGGCATAAGCTACGGACAACGAACACAATTGCATTTTATCGATGGCAATTTGAATGCACAGAGATACCGTGATGAGATCCTGAGGCCCAACGTCGTGCCATTCATCCGCAGCAATCACCTCATGTCTCAGCATGATAATACACAGCCCCATGTCGCAAGGATCTGTACACATCTGCTGGAAGCTGAAAATGCCCCAGTTCTTCCATGGCCTGCATACTCATCAGACATGTCACCCCCCATTGAGCATGCTCTGGATCGACGTGTACATTTTACATTTTAGTCATTTTTAGCAGTCGCTCTTATCCAGCGACGTACAGTTAGTGAGTGTGTACGACAGCGTGTTCTAGTTCCCGCCAACTTCGCACAGCTATTGAAGAAGAGTGGGACAACATTCCACAGGCCACAATCAACAGCCTGATCAACTCTATGCGAAAGGAGATGTGTGAGGCAAATGGTGGTCACACCAGATACTGACTGGTTTTCTGATCCACGCTCCTACTTTTTTTTTAAAGGTATCTGTGACCAACAGATGCATATCTGTATTCCCAGTCATCTGAAATCCATAGATTAGGGCCTAATTTATTTATTTCAATTGACTGATTTCCTTATGTGAACTGTAACTCAGTAAAATATTTGAAATTGTTGCACGTTGCGTTTATGTTTTTGTTCAGTGTATATCAAACACAGGAAAATCACGTTTTTGACTCCACTGGGACTTTAAAGAGAGAGGGGCAAAGAGAGGTAAGGTTTTAGTTATACAAATGGAGAGAGAGAAAGAGAGAGACTACAGCATGTGCAAAGAGAGAGAGAGAGAGACTCCGGACAAGGCAGTCTCTCTCTCTCTCTCTCTCAATTCAATTTCAATTCAATTTAATTTCAATGTCAATTCAATTCAATTTAAGGGCTTTATCTCTCTCTCTCTCTCTCTCTTTTCTCTCTCTCTCTCTCTCTCTCTCTCTGATCATGCCTAGATTAATGCCTTGTAATGCTTGTTAATGCTTTGTAAATTAAGCTTCATGCCTTGTATGTGAATCCATTCATTTTACAAAGTAATTAAATAGTACTTGTATTTAGAATTCCATTCTCAGACATTTCTTGATTGCCTATTAGTCTAACTCAACTATATTCTCTTGCATATTTTAATCATCTTTTTGGAGTCAGCTGAACATTTTAATAGGCTGATCGCTTAGTCTTACATGTGAGGTATATATATACAGTACCAGTCAAAAGTTTTGACACACCTACTCATTCAAGGGTTTTTCTTTATTTTTACTATTTTCTACATTGCAGAATAATAGTGAAGACATCAAAACTATGAAATAGCACATATGGAATCATGTAGTAACCAAAAAAAGTGTTAAACATATATATTTTAGATTCTTCAAAGTAGCCACCCTTTGCCTTGATGACAGCTTTGCACACTCTTGGCATTCTCTCAACCAGCTTCATGAGGAATGTTTTCCAAAAGTCTTGAAGGAGTTCCCACATATGCTGAGCACTTGTTGGCTGCTTTTCCTTCACTCTGCAGTCCAACTCATTCCAAACCATCTCAATTGGGTTGAAGTCAGGTGATTGTGGAGGCCAGGTCATCTGATGCAGCACTCCATCACTCTCCTTGGTCAACTAGCCCTTACACAGCCTGGAGGTGTGTTTTGGGTCATTGTCCTGTTGAAAAACAAATGATAGTCCCACTAAGCCCAAACCAGATGGGATGGCGTATCACTGCAGAATGCTGTGGTAGCCATGCTGGTTAAGTGTACCTTGAATTCTAAATAAATCACTGACAGTGTCACCAGCAAAGCACCCCCACACCTCCTCCTCCATGCTTCATGGTGGGAACCACACATGCAGAGATAATCCGTTCACCTACTCTGCGTCTCACAAAGACACAGCAGTTGGAACCAAAAATCTCAAATTTGGACTCATCAGACCAAAGAACAGATTTCCACCGGTCTAATGTCCATTGCAATTTCTGAGGCTGGAAACTCTAATGAACATATCCTCTGCAGCAGAGGTAACTCTGGGTCTTCTTTTCCTGTGGTGGTCCTCATGAGAGCCAGTTTCATCATAGCGCTTGATGGTTTTTGCAACTGCACTTCAAGAAACATTCAAAGTTCTTGAAATTTTCTGGATTGACTGACCTTCATGTCTTAAAGTAATGATGGGCTGTCATTTCTCGTTGCTTATTTGAGCTGTTCTTGCCTTAATATGGACTTGGTCTTTTACCAAATAGGGCTATCTTCTGTATA